GAGAAGCCTCACCCAGTGCCACCCACACCTCTCCCTCCCAGTTAGGCTGCAACAAGTGCTCCTCTGCTCCTTCTCTGTATCCTTATAACCTTTCACATTTATCCCCCTCTCGTAACTTACACCATTGAAATCACCTAAGTTAAAAATAATTATTATAATTAACACTTACTGAGTCTTTACTATTATATCAGGCAGTATTCTGAGCACCTTCCATTGATTAAGCTCCTTTACTCTTCAGAAGAGTCCTATGATGTAGACTCTGTATTTTTCCCATTTAACAGACAAAAACATAGAGTCACTAAGGGGTAAACTGCCCAAAGTTCCACAATTAGTAAATGGATAGAATTCAAACCCAGGTAATTCATCTCCAGGGTCTGTATTCTTAAACCACATAAAAATTCTTCAGGTAAAGTCTGTTTCCCCTAACGAAGATAAAAGTTTTATAAGAAAGAGATTGCCCTACTTACACGTCTGTAGTCCCAGTGCTTAGCACACGAAATAAGCTCAGTAAATAGTTACTGAACTGGTTTAATTCATAAAAATTTACTTTATAGATTTTATAAGTAAATATGAGTTATTCAAGTATTTTAGAAATTCAAGTATTTTAGAAATATCTTCTAAAATGGGGGTAGGGGACTTGCTTCATCTTTACAAAAGGTACACAAATACTAAGGATTGAATACATTTTTCATCAATTTCATAAAACCAATTCATCGTAACTGTCGATGACTGTACATAAGCTTACAGTAAATTATTCTGAACACAAACCTTGTGTCTGGGTTGCACCTTGCGAAGAAGCAAATATAATAAATAGAAGTTGCCAACACTGAAGAGAAGATTTACAAATCTGAGCATTCCAATGGAGCAGACAACATGTTCTGACCATCCAAAGATCCAACTGGCAGGTTTGACCACTCCGACTGACAGCAGGTATAAGCCAGGTAATGTAGTAATCATGGGGTCCCACTTAAAAATAAAAGGCCGATAATGAAGCAAGAGCAAGAGGTAATACCAGTAAGACAGACATAAAGATACTGAGCGCAAACACATCTTTACCAACGATCAGGCATTTGGGGAAGGTATCCTACGACAAATCAAATACCTCCTCTAAAGAAAAGTGTTGCTTATGTTTTGCACCTGTACTCGCTCTGTGACTCTTAAGGTATCAGCAACCAGTAGGCAACAACCTGAACTCAGTTTCTATTTTCCAAGACACACTCTTTAGAAGGCCTGTAGTTTTGGTGATTAAATTGCAAATGCTCCAGTTTTAGAAAGGCTGGAAACATCCACTGGAACTCTGACGGGCTTAGAGATCAAAGTGTTTGAAGGGATTAAACCACAGGCTCCATGACTGCTACCATGTACTGAGCCCGGAACTGTGCTAAGCCCTCTGAATTCAATCCTGCAACAAGCCCTAAAGTACTTAGCCTTTTACTGTCACTTTCAGATAAGAGTAACCCGAAACTCAGAAAATATCCAAGCCACATGACTAGTACATTACAGCGCCAAGATTTAAAAGCAGGTTTAACTACAGATTTTGTATTTCGAACCACTACTCTA